TGTGTATTCAGCTCAATGTACATTTAAACCCGAGACAACAAAACCACCTTCTTTTGGGGTCCCCTTTCCTAACAGAAGAGATATCATCACCCACGTAAACCCTAAACCCTAAACCCTAAACCCTAAACCCTAAACCCTAAACCCTAGAAACTAAAAATTAAATATAAATGTATTGTTGAGGAAATTAATTTGGTTGTATTTGTGTTTTATAATCACAAACTTTATAATATATAATCCTATTAATTTATTTTTTTTTATTTTTTTATTTATTTTTTTATTTTTTTATTTTTATTTTATTTTTATTTAGGTAAAACAAAAGACAAAGAAAGAGAAAGAAAAGAAAGAAACAAAATATATAATAAAAATAGAAACAGAAGTTGATAGAGAGCTGGCTCTACCCCCTGACGAACTGTCTCCTTTTGTCTCCTTTAAAAAGGAGACAGAAGGGGGGGGCCCCCCATCAGTACCCAAAAAGGGTACAGTTAGGGGGGGCCCCCCACCTGTGCCCAGAAAGGAGACAGAGGGGGGGGCCCCCCTACCCCTTTTTATAAAGGAGACAGATGCGGGGGGGCCCCTCTCTGTTATTAAAGAGACAGATTGGGGGGCCCCCCTATCTGTACTTATAAAGGAGACAGAGGGGGGGGGCCCCCTAACTGTACCCAAAAAGGAGACAGATGGGGGGCCCCCCCTACCTCTCTTTACAAGGAAGACAGAGAGGGGCCCCCCATCTGTACCCAAAAAGGAGACAGATGGGGGGGCCCCCCTACCTGTACCCAAAGAGACAGAGAGGGGCCCCCTACTAACACCTAAAAAGGAGACAGAGAGCGGGGGCCCCCTAACTGTACCCAAAAAGGAGATAGGGGCCCCCCTACCTATACCCAAAAAGGAGATAGGGGGCCCCCCACCTGTACCCAAAAAGGAGATAGGGGGCCCCCCACCTGTACCCAAAAAGGAGATAGGGGCCCCCCTACCTATACCCAAAAAGGAGATAGGGGGCCCCCCACCTATACTCAAAAAGGAGACAGGGGCCCCCCCACTTCTACCCAAAAAGGAGATAGGGGCCCCCCTGACTGTACCCAAGAAGGAGATAGGGGCCCCCCTGCCTGTACCCAAAAAGGAGATAGGGGTGGGGGGCCCCCCACTTCTACCCAAAAAGGAGATAGGGGCCCCCCTGCCTGTACCCAAAAAGGAGATAGGGGCCCCCTCCCTAGTACCCAAAAAGGAGATGGGGGGCCCCCTGCCTGTACCCAAAAAGGAGACGGGGGCCCCCCCACTTCTACCCAAGAAAGAAATAGGGGGGCCCCCACCTGTACCCAAAAAGGAGACAGCTAAGAAGGGCCCCCTACCTGTACCCAAAAAGGAGATAGGGGCCCCCCTGCCTGTACCCAAAAAGGAGATAGGGGGCCCCCCCCTAGTACCCAAAAAGGAGATAGGGGGCCCCCCACCTCTATCGAAGAAGGAGACAGGGGGCCCCCCGCTTCTACCCAAAAAGGAGACAGGGGCCCCCCCCCTAGTACCCAAAAAGGAGACAGTTAAGAAGGGCCCCCTACCTGTACCCATAAAGGAGAAGGGGGCCCCCCCCCCACTAGTACCCAAAAAGGAGACAGGGGGCCCCCCTCTAGTACCCAAAAAGGAGACAGGGGCCCCCCTACTTACACCTAAAAAGCAGATAGGGGGGCCCCCCCTAGTACCCAAAAAGGAGACAGGGGGCCCCCCACCTGTACCCATAAAGGCGACAGGGGGCCCCCCACCAGTACCCAAAAAGGAGACAGGGGGCCCCCCCCAAGTACCCAAAAAGGAGACAGGGGGCCCCCCAGCTGTACCCAAAGAGGAGACAGAGAGGGGCCCCCTGTCTCTGTATAAAAAGGAGACAGAGGGGGGCCCCCATTGTATTTATAAAAGGGAGACAGAAGAAAAAAGGAGACAGAAAAAAAAAGAAAAAGAAAATGAGTATCTTGGGGGTTAGTAGCTTGCTGGTGCTTCTCTTTTTTTTTTTTTTTTTTATTTGTCTCCTTTTATTTATTTTTATTTATTTTTGTATCTTTTTATTTGTTTTTATTTATTTTTGTATCTTTTCATTTGTTTTTATTTGTTTGTATCTTTTTATTTGTTTTTATTTATTTGTCTCCTTTTATTTATTTTTATTTATTTGTCTCCTTTTATTTATTTTTATTTATTTGTCTCTTTTTATTTATTTTCATTTATTTGTCTCTCTTTATTTATTTTTGTTTATTTGTCTCCTTTTGTTTATTTCTTTTTATCTGTCTTTTTATTTATTTTTATTTATTTGTCTCTCTCTATTTATTTTTATTTATTTGTCTCCTTTTATTTATTTTTATTCATTTGTATCTACTTACTTTTTATTGTCTCTTTCTATTTATTTTTATTTTTTTGTCTCTTTCTATTTATTTTTATTTATTTGTCTCCTTTTATTTATACTGGTGTCTCCTTTTCTGTCTCCTTTATTGACTAAACTAACCCTAAACCCTAAAACCCTAAACCCTAAACCCTAAACCCTCTTCTTGTCTCTCTTTGTGTGTTGTCTCCTTTATCAACTAACCCTAAACCCTAAAACCCTAAACCCTAAACCCTAAACCCTCTTTTTGTCTCTCCTTTTGTGCTGTCTCCTTTTTGTCTCCTTTTCAGAGAATGTATCTTCTTATAACATTTGGTTTATGCAGCAAGGAGACCCCACAGTTGGTGTCTTTGCTTTTTCGGACTGTCTCCGTTTGTCTCCTCTCCCTTCTGTCCCTATAGATGATGAAACTCCTTTATACAGAAAAAGAAAACAAAAAACTCCTGCTGCTGCTGCTGCAGCAGCAGCAGCAGCAGCAGCAGCAGCAGCAGGAGACAGAGAGAGAAACAAATACATGCATTTAGCCTCACCTTATAGTATTCCATTAGATATAGAACAATCTCTATCATATCAGCAGCAGCACCAAGAGCAGCTGCTGCTGCTGCAGCAGCTGCTGCAGCAGCAGCAGCAGCAGCAGCAGCAATATGCACCACTAACTTCAGGGATTGTCTCCTCTTTTAGGGTGCCTTATATAAGAGAAAGAAATAGAGAGACAGAAGCACAAAGACAAAGGAGACTAGGGAGAGCAGCAGCAACAAAAAACCCAGCAGCAGCAGCAGCAGCAGCAGCAGCAGCAGCAGCAGCAGCAGCAGCAGCAGCAAGAAAAAAACAGAGAGACAACGACTGTCTTCTATGGAATGCAAATACCACCAACTTTAGTGCTGCTATAACAAAAATAAAAAAATAAAAAAATAAAAAAAAAAAAAAATAAATATAAATATAAATATAAATATAAATATAAATATAAATATAAATATAAATATAAATA